AACATAGTCCAGATGCCCTGGATTTCAACCTTGGATGGGTGAAGTTTTTTTCTGTTTTCAGAGCAGCATCAATGTCAGATTGAAAGTGAAGTTGCTGGTGTTAAAGTCAATTTGGAATGTGATCTCTGATGCATTACAAGTTTTGAGCCCAGCGTTTCCTGATTTCCCTGAAGCCACCCCTTGAGGTGACACTGAAGGGTGGTCCTCACTTGCGAAACTCAATGTGCAAGTAAAATTACTCCATTATTTACTAAAACAACCCTGTTGGTTTCCTTTAGAATGTTAATGTGGTTTAGAAATGTTCTCATTCAGTAGCTTTTTTTGTTTTGATGTACTGTGTTCACTGACTGCTGTATGTATTAATGCCTTAAAAATGTAGTGCATGAAGTTTCCTGTTAGGACTATATTGCAGGGTTGTGGAGCCAGTCCCAGATAACATTAGGTGAGAGGTGGTGTGGGCCCGGACAAGTCACCAGTCTGTCACGGGACTGACACATGGAGATGGACAACCACTCCCACTTATGAGCAGTTTAGAGTCACCAGTCAACCTGAACTGCAGGTCTTGGGACTGTGGGAGGAAGCTACAGTACCCGGAGGAAACCCACACAGTCACGGGGAGAACATTGAAACTCTCACAGAAAGGCCCTAGTTGGCCATAAGGTTTGAACCCAGAGCCTTGCTGTGAGGTGACGGTGCCGACCACTTCATCACTGTGTTGACCCCACTTAGATAAAACATGTGCTGAGCAGTGTTAGAATCATGATGTGTTCACTTAATGTTATAGATCTGCTCTGGAATTGTGATGCCTTCAGTTGTGTTGCAGATTCTCGGAGCAGTGACGCAGTGACGCACTGACGACAGTGCAGGTTCAGAGAGATGAACAAAAGTTGAGTAGCTGTGACCTGGCAGATATCTGCTGCAGTGGTTGTGTGTTGGGAGGTGGGTGTTTGTGGACCTCAGAGTGGGTCAGTTTGGCAGGGCAGCCTGTTGGCAGGGAGTGTAAACACACACTTTTATCCCTGTAAAAATAAGTAAACCGATAACAAAACTAAACAGACAAAATAATACATCCCTCAAAATAAACAAAAACTAAACATTATACAAATAATACATATAAAATATTTAAACAAAATGAAAAGCTACACAAATAAAATAGAACTAAAAGAAATCAAAATAGAACAAAACAAATACTAAAAGCAATAAAATGCTAAATGTATGTGTGAGTCATGTCCTGAAGCTCTGCAGTTTAAAGTCACTTAGGTTTTGTGTTGGTCATTCTTGTCAACATTGTGGAGGTTTTGGTGTCTTGTTACAACTTGTCTGTGGAAAATGCAATTTTTGTTTTTGACTTGCTACTATAACTTTAATTAGCTCTAGCGGAGCTGTAGCAGGACTTCTCCAGAGTCCTAAAAGGCAGTGTTCAAAACCTGCCTTTGGTGGAGGCTTTTGAGAAGTTATGGCCAAGTTGTAGGGTTCTTGTAGGCATTTTTAATGCCAGGAAAGAACAGTTGGATGGCAGAAGAGAGAGCTCAAGCTGTGTACATACAGTTTGGTGGGCTGGAAAAACTTAGAAAAATCAACTGGACTAGGTTTTTAGGTCGAAGACAGTTTGGTGTTTCTGTCTCAGAATTAAGGGAAACCCTTGATGATGCAATAGGTCACAAAGTCCTGTCCAATCCCTATTTATATATTTTCCAGCCCTTGCACTCACTCGCTTACAGGGGATGTCAGTAATATCTTTGAGGGTTCAGAGCTTTAGACCTCATAGGGGCTTTGATATTCAGCTACAGACTCTTATCAGTGTTGTGTGTATAATTCGGCAGGTCCTCACTGTGACCACTTGAGGGCAGTAACGGTCATCACCTCACTGAAATGTTTAGTGGAGAGAGGATGTCTAGTTAGACTGTTAAATGCTTAGGCCTGCTTATGAGTTTCTACAGGGTACATCTGGTCAAGGATACTAGAGAGAAGAGCTGATGACTGTCAGCAGACAGGGTGTTTAATATTATTATTATGACATGTATAACTGTAGCCTTAGCCATAATATGTTCTTATGTTTAAGTCACGACATGTACTAGAAGTCTGTGAGAATGTTTTTAGTTACACACCACTTAATCAACAGATACACACACACGCACATTGATTTGCTTCATGTTTTGACTACTGCTATGGCCAGCTGCAAAGCTGGCAACAGAGACGTCTCGGTTGACGTTTCTGGGTAGTATGGGGCTAGCCCAACCGAAGGGATATACAGTGCCTTGCAAAAGTATTCGGCCCCCTTGAACTTTGCGACCTTTTGCCACATTTCAGGCTTCAAACATAAAGATATAAAACTGTAATTTTTTGTGAAGAATCAACAACAAGTGGGACACAATCATGAAGTGGAACGAAATTTATTGGATATTTCAAACGTTTTTAACAAATAAAAAAAATCTCGGTTGACGTTTCTGTGTAGTATGGGGCTAGCCCAACCGAGGGGATATAATGTATAGGCCTGGTGGGTTCAGGGTCTTTCATCTTACATCTGCCTGCGAGCAGTTTGGAGGTGCAAGATACCTGAGCGTGTAATGTTAATTTTACCTGTGATCCTTTGAATAAATCAGCACTGTTTTGAAGTTACTTGGACTGTCTCGTCTCTCAGAGTTAGCATGGTAAGACGAACTGACCCTACACAGCCTTTAATTCATTTACTGACCTTCAAAATTCACCCAACTTCCACTAAAGGGAGGACTCAAAACCAAGTCCTTAAAGCTTCTCTAATCACTTGATCTATCTGTTCCAACAAGTTAGCCCTCTTTCTCCACACTTTGCTTCATTCATTAGTTTTCAAAATGAACACAGCCTCAAAAAGCTCCACAAAGGACAAGACTCAGACACAGGTCTTCACAACTCCAAACTCTAATATCCTGAGCTGTTTGACAACATTACTCAGGGCTTCTTCACTATACACCGATCAGCCATAACATTCTGACCACTGGCAGGTGAAGTGTATAACACTGACTATCTGTTACAGTGGCCCCCGTCCCTGTGTGGGGTATATTAGGCAGCAAGTGAACATTCAGTCCTCAAAGTTGATGTTGGAAGCAGGAAAAATGGGCAAGTGTAAGAATCTGAGTGACTTTGACAAGGGCCA